TTATTTTAATTAACATCGCTATATTATTAATCATGTATACAATATAATTATATATTATAATACATATGTATAATAATATACATATATTATTATATTTTATTATATGTATATCATATTATATTAATCATATACAACAATTAATTGTATCTTGACCGAATTATATCTCAAACAGAATGTTGAAAGTATAAAATAATAAAAAATTGTGCAAGCAAAACATGTTTGAGATAAAAAACTATTTAAACTTACATGAGAAATGTTTTGCTTTTATTTTTATTGGAACATTAGCACGTTGTTTTTACATTTTACATGTATAGTAACATACAAGAATAGAAGAACAATTCTACGAGAAAGGATTTTACAATTTTTATGTATATGCACAATAAATTATTGCGTTTTTTACAGAAGTAGCTATTTGCCAGGATCTTTGCAATTGGGATTTTCTCAGTCCATTACATTATCTGCTTCAAAATTATGGTTCTGAAAATATCTTCTTTCTCTTCGGGTCATGTTATTATAGATTAAGACCATCTAACCCATTTAAATAAATTTCCTTTCCAATGATCTAAAAAATTCAAATTGAACTTATTCTTCTTTGAGAGGAAAATTTAGCAATCGACATTTGGCAAGTAATATAATCGTATGAGAAGCTTTCAATGCAGTTAGAAAGCTATTAATTCCAAAAGTAAGTAATACAAACTATCAATAACTTTTACAATCACAGTTGCTTTCCTATCATTAAGAAAATAATGAAATGTTGTTTAAATTTTTAACAGTTAAAGCTCTTATTCAACACAGTAAACACACATCACAATGTACAAACTTTAAAATGGCGGACACATTCTCCGGATAAAAATATCATTGAAAACGTATGGGGAATACTAGTGACACTTTATACAGAGAACGAAAAACTTTCGGCGATTTAAGATCGTCATTATTAAAACGTAAGACGAATGTAATCAAAACTTAATTACAGTCCTTGTTCACAGTTTAAAAACTTAATATTTCACCCAATTATTTGTAATAGAATAACCACTGATTATTATAAACTATTTTTTATAGTAATTGAATTTTGGTTACAATTTTTAGTAACAAAATCATTTCTTTCAGCACTTAAATACTAAATAAATTCTTTTTCAAACTTACACTTTTACATGAACTACAAATATCTTCCATGAAAATGTAATATTTCATTGTGTATGTGAAAATTACAAATTCTTCTCTCATATCGTTTTCTCCGTATCTTAACAGAATTAAAGTAAAAATAAAAATTTTATATTTTAAAAGAGCAAAGTATTAACATTACTCGTGACAGTAAGCTAGCTAAAAATGGAGTAAACTTATCCTGATCGGCGGTGTACAAGATGCGTTCAAAAACTTCGGGACTCTTGATATAGAAAACACTAGGAGTAACAGAAAGAAATGAAACTCGCAATATATGATCTTCGATTGCTTTCCTATATGCGTACCAAGTTTCGTAACAATCGATTGCCTAGTTGTCTACTTATTGTCCGTTGCAGTTACCTGTGAGCTATGGCTTTGGCAATTCTTAAGGATGAATGATTTCCGCAAGCAGAAAACGTGCATAAAGTTCTGTTTTAACCTTAAAAAAACAGCATCTGAAACAATGAGGATGCTTTAAATTTCTTTCGGTGATAAAAGTCGTCGGCAGACCTTTTTCTCTTTCCACGCCTCACTGAAAGGGCAACGTTTTGATACACGAGAGAACATCATTAAAAAATTGGTGGAAGAGTTGAAGCGGAATACAAAATCGCTTTTCCGGGAAGCATTCGTAATTCGGAGGAAAGATTTTATTAATGCGTACATGCAGAAAGAGAATATTTTGAAGGTGATATAAATGCCATTAAACCTTCGACTAAACAATATGTAACAGAAGTCCTCGAAATTTTTCAACATACCGTGTATAATAACAGATATTCTAAATAAAAATATCTTGCTGACTTTTTAGCTGACAATACTAGAAGAAACTACATAGAAACAAAAGTCGACAGAGTTCGCACGCGAATCGATAAATGCAAAGAAAGAAAAAACGAAAAGGAGCAAACAGCGCGAGCGTATCCGTTTACGAGGCACCAGATGTTCCACGGAAACCGAGAAGCCGTCGCTCTACTAGCTGAAGAAGAATCTTTTCATTGGTCCTCTTTAAATATTAGCTCGTTCATTGATTGCGATAGCTTGTTCAGTTTAGCTGAGTCGTTATTTCATACCCAGATTCATATTCATAATCCGATGATATTTATGACAATAATTGAATAGTCAACAGAAGTTGAAAATATAATCCATCACGAACTTAATCAAACACTTGTTATACAGTGTTCAATAGTATCATTTATACATTTCAACTTGCCGCGCTTTTTAAACAATATGGCAGAGAATCTCAGTGCTAATATTACTTTATGTATTTACTGCTTTTAAGGACAGTAACAGTTTAAACTACTATGTAGTTTAAGTAATAGCTTAGATATTAATAGTTTAAATAGTAATCTGAACTAATGGATCAAATAAAAGTTTAAACTGATAATTTAAACAATAGATTAAACTATGCACACTATGGCTTTGGCAATTCTTAAGGATGAATGATTTCCGCAAGCAGAAAACGTGCATAAAGTTCTGTTTTAACCTTAAAAAAACAGCATCTGAAACAATGAGGATGCTTTAAATTTCTTTCGGTGATAAAAGTCGTCGGCAGACCTTTTTCTCTTTCCACGCCTCACTGAAAGGGCAACGTTTTGATACACGAGAGAACATCATTAAAAAATTGGTGGAAGAGTTGAAGCGGAATACAAAATCGCTTTTCCGGGAAGCATTCGTAATTCGGAGGAAAGATTTTATTAATGCGTACATGCAGAAAGAGAATATTTTGAAGGTGATATAAATGCCATTAAACCTTCGACTAAACAATATGTAACAGAAGTCCTCGAAATTTTTCAACATACCGTGTATAATAACAGATATTCTAAATAAAAATATCTTGCTGACTTTTTAGCTGACAATACTAGAAGAAACTACATAGAAACAAAAGTCGACAGAGTTCGCACGCGAATCGATAAATGCAAAGAAAGAAAAAACGAAAAGGAGCAAACAGCGCGAGCGTATCCGTTTACGAGGCACCAGATGTTCCACGGAAACCGAGAAGCCGTCGCTCTACTAGCTGAAGAAGAATCTTTTCATTGGTCCTCTTTAAATATTAGCTCGTTCATTGATTGCGATAGCTTGTTCAGTTTAGCTGAGTCGTTATTTCATACCCAGATTCATATTCATAATCCGATGATATTTATGACAATAATTGAATAGTCAACAGAAGTTGAAAATATAATCCATCACGAACTTAATCAAACACTTGTTATACAGTGTTCAATAGTATCATTTATACATTTCAACTTGCCGCGCTTTTTAAACAATATGGCAGAGAATCTCAGTGCTAATATTACTTTATGTATTTACTGCTTTTAAGGACAGTAACAGTTTAAACTACTATGTAGTTTAAGTAATAGCTTAGATATTAATAGTTTAAATAGTAATCTGAACTAATGGATCAAATAAAAGTTTAAACTGATAATTTAAACAATAGATTAAACTATGCACATATAGTAGCATACACATATTATAATAACTTAAACATAATTATTTAAATTAATAGTTTAAACTAATAGTTTTCATAAATATTGAGAAGGCAAGAAAAAACTTTTACACAGAGAAAACCTGTAATTCTAGGTTTCTACTAAACGTACATATCTGTTAATAGGCTGTCATATAATTGCCCGCCAAGTACGTACTATTTCACACCTATTTTCCTCACTCTGCCGTCTATATGTATAATTACATCAAATAAATAAACAATCTGTACAAAATGTACATATTAATGAAATATATGGGTTACTAATATTCCATAATTTTCCATTTGCACATTAAAAACCCCAAACGTAAGATATTATCGAGTGATTACAATTTTCGTTCAAAGACAAGCAAAGCAACACAATAAACGAGTTTAAAAAATCATTTTTTGTTAACATAATTTCAGAGTATATCCCTTCGGGAATATTCCTAAAATACTAACCCGATATTCATGTAAATAACGAAATTGTTCTGCGCGAGACCCAGAACGGTAGTAAAGAAACGAATAACCGAGCGGTTTCAATATAAACACGAAACATCATTTATGATACAACGGAACTTATACTTAAAAAATAACTTATACTAAATTTTACATTTGTAATAAAAAAACAACCAATTTATACTGAATAAAGTACCCAAAATAATTAGAACACAGTTTTCAATGATTATACGAGGCATTTACGCCACTATTACTCAAACAGTTTAATTAGCAATGTGATTATTTAAAGATGACGTGTACTTGAAAATATGAACATTAATGATATTAATGGTATACGATGATATGTATTTAACATTTACTACTTGACACTGATAGTGACACTTCGAACAATTTCAAGATTAATTTCATTGAATACAAGGTTACATTATGTTCCTACTCTTATCAGGTAAGATGGTACGTTTATAGTAGATATTATATGACAAATGATAACAATAATTAATAGGGCCTGTATTTAGTATCTTTAAGACTGTAAACTTTCAAAGGTTTCTCCCCTAAGATGTATATTTGCTAAACTGTGTATCAATGTTAAGCAGTGAGTTATCAATTATTTAAGATGAAGTGAAATAGTAAAAATATCCATTCTTCCAAAATTTTAAACAGTTTGAAATATTGATATAAATTGTACTATTTTATTACTGCAATTTATTTTGTATTCCATACTTAAATCGAAATTCATGATCTATGATACGAATCTGATCTTTGATGTAAGAACTGACTATGTAAAGCAAGGGATGAACTAGCTAAAACGTTCAACGATTTTACCTGCTGCTCTGTGCCTACATCACCAACAGATTTAAGTAAACGACTAAACAAATAGACAAAAAATTGCCATCGAATACAAAATCCCAGAAGAATATAAGAGTCTTACCTGATACCAGAGGGAGGAGTAGCAATCCGATCGACAGGACACCCATCGTCTTTCGTGAAAACAGTTCGTCGATTCTGCAACCACTATTTCAGCCTTCCTTCTGTGTCATCGTCGATCGATCAGAGGCTCGTTCCTGATAAAACCACTTCTGGATCCCGGCACTAGTTGTACGGCACCGTTCCCTACCAGATCACTCTCGGGTAACTAGATCCTTCGTTATCAAACGTTCTAACCGCCACGAAAGAACCAACAATCCCAAGAGACTCGCAAGGGTGAAGAGAAGAGAAAAGCAAGCAAGCCAAGCTAGTAAGCAAGCAAGGCACTCGCACGCGTGGAGTCGTGCACGAGACACTGGTGAACGTGGTGTACGAAGCGTGCCAGAAGGAGGGCCACGTTCGTGCGAGGCGAAGCGTAGCACCACGCGGTGTTGTTAACTAAGCTGCCGCGACTGTTTGCGGGCCTGTGTGACACGCTGCATAGAGCGCGGTACGAGACCAGTTCGAAGACTGAGTGTACGAGTCCATATCCCGGAGGCTGACTTCTCTCGGCCCTACCAAGGTACACCGTACGGTAATGCCGTCCGTTGCCCGCCTCTGGATAACGTTTCCTTCCACCATTAGGCAACACGCGATACACGCTCCGTGAGACGCGTCGTGCACCATGTCCTCGCAGGGGGAACGGAACACTGTTTGCAGGATTATATCGCCGATCTTTCGAAGGACTCCCTCGAGACTTCTCACGGACCTGGCCGAAAAAAAGAAACGATTAGGCACGAAACCGCCAACGGTAAGGTAAAGTTACTGAATATGAAAATCTCTCCTAAGATACCGACTTATCGCATTTACGGATCTTTTGAAAGTTCTAGGGATGCTGTTTTAATTCGTAACTGTGCATGTGTATTTTTGGGGTTTAAATCGATTGAACAGATTTTGAGCAATCACAGATTTTTGAAATGTACTGCGAACAAGTTTTGATGTTTTTCGTAAAATACTTCGATAATGTTAAGTGTATAATCATTTTCATAGACGCTGTTATATAATGCATACAAGGGAGTTTGAAACGTACTAGTTGTATATTATAATGTACATGAATTTGTATATCAAAAAGATTGAACCTTGAAACTATCTAGTAGTTATAATATTACTTCGAATAATGGAACTGTTAGAAATTGCTTATTGAGTCCTAGTAAACAATCAGTTAATTCTGAATCGCGGAAATTTCTTTAGTATCGTGGCTCGATAACACTCTGTGCATTTAATGGTTAAGATAATTTTATACATTGAAATATTAAAATGTGGACCTACGTAAACTACAATACAATAAGAGAGATAACTACAATACAATGGGTCTCATATCTTTTTTAAATATAGAAAAAATAAAAAATAAACAGAGTTTTATATTAGGAACCCAGTTTTTTTTATATGTACTTGTATAACATTTATTTGACTACAATGGAACTGAATCATTACTATTGTACTTCCTACTAAATTGCAGAAAAATATAAAGGCGTGTCGAATTTTGATAACAGTGTTCTTTAACTAAGAGCTAACATTTTTTAAAGAAATAAGTTCTATATTAGACGATTTTACCGTAATATCAAAATTCTTTGCAACAAACATACGTTCTATTGGATAATGTGTTCTGTTAAGGATAACCATGCCTGAAAGAGTTAATAGAAACGAATTGGTTGTCTCATCGTTTATATGAAGGATGTTGAATTAAATACTGATAAGGAAAGTGTAAAACCTTTAAAACATCGATTTATAGAAGACCATCAAAATATCAATCATAGAAGATCTAGAAAATAATAATTTTACACAATCTTTAAATGCGCTTTAAAAAAAAGAAATTTAATTTACAAATTCTACTATTCTTTTGAATTAAAAAATTATCGAATTTTTAAATTAGGAAATTACTAAATTTTCGAATTATAAAGTCATACAATTTTCAAGTAATCAAATTGTCAAATTTACAAGTTTACCGAGTTCTAATTTAAAAAATTTTATGAACTAATTAGAAAAATCGCACTAACATATAATCGTTATAAAATCCATATTAAAATGAATATTAAATAATTTTCACCTTACATGCTTGTTATAGGTAGACGACTCTGGCCGAAAGAAGACGAATATACACAAACTATTTTCAGGTAATCTTTTGATACTTTACGTGAAATAACACTACATAAAATAATTATTTTATTATAAATAATTCCAGTAAAACAATTGTACTCCACTAAATTAATTAAAAACGACATAAACAACTACTACTTATTACTATACAATTTGTCATACGTCTAAAGTGAAATATAGCTTGTTGAATAAAAAATTCTTCAGGTACAACTGCTGCTGTCGATTATCGACAGGTTACAAATCGGTTATTAACTTTGAGCTATCGGTCATTTTCATTATCGATATCGTAACGATGTTTTCGATATATCGATTATCGATAATGTTATCAATCATAGCACCTGTAGCTTCAGCGAATACAACTATTAACCAAATTGTGTTTAAAACGAATATAATGTTACATTCGTTAAAAAATTAAAAGACATTCGAGATTTCATTATTTTTGTAAGCAGACACGTATCGGGCGAAAATTCATAATTCTAAGAAAACAACGATATTTTCCGTTGAAGTGCGAATTATATTATAATTAAACGCAGAAATGATACGATTTAATCAAGATTTCAATCTGACCTACGCGAAAGTTAATTACCCAGCTTATCACGAGCCGAATTACGCTGAAACCGCGTGGTGTTTCCTTTTCAAAGCTGACACGGGAGAATTATCAAAAAATTTTCAAGATAACGCGGACAGAAAATCATAGAAATATACCTGAGATTAAAAACAGAGAGTACAAAGTTAACAAAGTCGTAGTTAAAAGTGTTGGTAATAATTTTCTATGTGATGTTGTTCGTGCAAATTATGAGTAAAAGGGGAACGCTGCCTTTGTAATTAAAATCATAGCTACTCAGACTCGAAATGAGGAAAATTCATTAGAACGGTGAACTGAGAAATAACTTAACACAATTAGACGATGAAATGCAGCGTTTAGAAGCTCGAGAAGATTTACGTCATCAGAAAGCAAAAAGTTATGCAATATTTACAGTAAAATTTTGTACATCTTTCGTTCTTAGTATAGCAATTTTAAAAAATGATAAAAATGCTAGTAAGCAATATGTTCAATTATTATATTAATCAAGGTAAACCGTTATTGATATTTTATAAAGATGCCGATATTTTATTGAAATTAATATTTTGTAGAAATACTAATATTTCATTAAAATTATAATATTAGTATTTTAAAATTGCATTATACTTAATTAAAATTATATTATATATGTTTTAATAAAACCCAAATGCTTGCAAAAATTATCGTGTATTAATTGTTAACCTTCATCCAATGAACTCACACACAGTTTATACATACAATTAATTAATGTCATGTCAATTCTTTCATCAAAGTAAACAACTATTTTATAAAATTGAAAAAAGTCCCCCAATTCAAATTTGCGAAAAATGAATATCAGATTTATGCACATGAGAAAAATTGAAAATACATATTTAAATAAAAATAGCTTTCGAAATAATATAAATTTGTGTCAAAAATTATAAATCATGTTAATAATTAATAAACTTGTTATGTTAAATAAAATGTTAGAATATTTTCGAAAAATTACAAATAATGATATACCACGTCGTATTACAGCACTACATGTACTATTCGCACGTGCAAACATTTTAAGTGCTCTAAAATTTAACGATAATTCGAGTAATTTCAATGGTGATATTAAACTACCGGTCGTACGTTGAAGCGCTCGGAAATTCGTTCACGTCTCGTCAACGCGTGAAAATTTTAATCGAATTGCCGCGTGCATGCGTCATAACAGCTGAAGTATAAATAATTGTAAACCGACCGTGCGACGCTAGCGCCACTAACCGTTGCGCATCGTTCCCTTCAATTCCGTTCAATTTAGAGAAAATACCGAGGAGAATGCAATTATTACTCTTTTTTCATTTAGATATCAGTTTTATTACTTGAAAGAATTAATTTACCTCCGTTAAATAAATATTATTTATCTATATTAAATATAATATAACTATGTCAAGTAACAAACATATTTATTATATTATAATTTGAAAGTTAGCACTATATTTGGATTAGCAAGTTCGCAACCATTTTATGTATTATCTGCTCAAACGTACTGGAAATCTATCATCAAAAACCAATATTTTATGAAGACAAGTATGGTAAAAAATTATTAATTCGAATAATACTTAACTTTATTAAAAATGTGTAATTATTAGATTAGAAAAATAATTTTGTAAAAAAAATTGCGGTCATGAGTAATTTATTTTTAACCTTCAATTTATAAAGTGGAATATTTTGTAACAAAATTTAATATTTTAATATGTGACTTTGTATGTGAGATAAATTAAAAAACAACACATATTTACTTGTACAATAATTGAACTAAAATTAAATTAATTAATGTAACATGTTATCAAATACCAGTGTACAGTTTAAAATGTTCTAATAAAACATAGTTATTTCATTAAAATTATATTTATTTCATTATTCTACTTATATTATTATTATTATATTTATTATTCCTATCATGTAATTATTGTTTTCAGACAATTTTTTGTTAAATTTACTTATATTCAATTGTATTTGAATAATAAAAATGATTTGCAATCACAAAACTGTATCTCCGTAGATGTAAATACTCTGGCCAATATTAAAATTATTTACACCCTACCCTACCATACCATTTGTAGACACGAAATATAGTTTCTCTAGATGCGCCATCTGCGGCTAGCATGTAAAACTATTTTCATTTACCAACTAACGATATGTAATAAATAAAACAAGTTTTGCAGTATCGTTTAAAACAGAATATCATTTTTCATCACAACCTATTTTCTTTTTATAAATTATGTTACCCGTTCATTTCTAGAATTAATTAATTTTCTAATAATGAAAGTGCCATTTTTCCTTTCCGAATTTCATATATTTATAATAAAATACTATATAACCTAACATTTTTTAAATCCAAAAAGTAAAATTCAATTCATACTGCAAACGGTTCATGTAATAACTCAAAATTATTTTATACTAGACTATTTATTCTGTACAAAATATTATGTTCTAATAAAAAAAAAAAATTGTAAGAATCAACATCGCTTTAAACTAAAATGTAACACTAACCTACTGTATTCTAGTTTAAATAAAAACGATTTACCAGGGAAGAAGTTTATACACAAAATACGTTTTAATATTCCATTTATTTTTCCGAGTATATCATCAACACAATTATCACATCGTCAGCAATTATAATGAATAAAAGTAAAAAAAATTGGTTGCTATTTATTTCAGATAATTTTATTATTTAATAAACGGAGATCAAGAGTAAGAATCATACACGTCCTCCCCTGAGTCGAAGTACTAAATGGAGAGTAGATTCTTTCTGAATATTGTAATCAGAAAGTGTACGACCATCTTCCAGTTGTTTACCAGCGAAGATTAATCTCTGCTGATCTGGTGGAATGCCTTCTTTGTCTTGAATTTTTGCCTTCACGTTTTCAATAGTGTCAGACGCCTCAACTTCCAGAGTTATGGTTTTTCCAGTAAGAGTCTTCACAAAAATTTGCATTCCACCACGAAGACGGAGTACAAGATGGAGTGTTGACTCTTTCTGAATGTTGTAGTCAGATAGTGTGCGCCCATCTTCTAACTGCTTACCAGCGAAGATCAATCTTTGCTGGTCTGGGGGGATGCCTTCTTTATCCTGGATTTTAGCCTTAACGTTCTCAATAGTGTCTGATGCCTCAACTTCCAAAGTAATGGTCTTTCCAGTAAGAGTTTTCACAAAGATCTGCATACCACCACGGAGACGGAGTACAAGATGAAGGGTTGATTCTTTTTGAATATTGTAATCGGATAACGTGCGTCCATCTTCTAATTGTTTACCAGCAAAGATCAATCTTTGTTGATCTGGAGGAATACCTTCTTTGTCCTGAATTTTAGCCTTTACATTCTCAATGGTGTCAGATGCCTCAACTTCCAAGGTTATAGTTTTTCCAGTAAGGGTTTTCACGAATATCTGCATTCCACCACGGAAATACCTTCCTTATCCTGGATTTTAGCTTTAACGTTCTCAATAGTGTCCGATGCCTCAACTTCCAAAGTAATGGTCTTTCCAGTAAGAGTTTTCACAAAGATCTGCATACCACCACGGAGACGGAGTACAAGATGAAGGGTTGATTCTTTTTGAATATTGTAATCGGATAACGTGCGTCCATCTTCTAATTGTTTACCAGCAAAGATCAATCTTTGTTGATCTGGAGGAATACCTTCTTTGTGATGCCTTCCTTATCCTGGATTTTAGCTTTAACGTTCTCAATAGTGTCCGATGCCTCAACTTCCAAAGTAATGGTCTTTCCGGTAAGAGTTTTCACGAAAATTTGCATACCACCACGGAGACGAAGTACAAGATGGAGTGTCGACTCTTTCTGAATGTTATAGTCAGATAATGTGCGTCCATCTTCCAATTGTTTGCCAGCAAAAATCAACCTCTGTTGGTCTGGAGGAATACCTTCTTTGTCCTGAATTTTAGCCTTTACATTCTCAATGGTGTCAGATGCCTCAACTTCCAAGGTTATAGTTTTTCCAGTAAGGGTTTTCACGAATATCTGCATTCCACCACGGAGACGGAGAACGAGATGAAGGGTTGATTCTTTTTGGATATTATAATCAGAAAGTGTACGTCCATCTTCCAATTGCTTGCCAGCAAAGATTAATCTCTGCTGGTCTGGAGGGATACCTTCCTTGTCCTGGATTTTAGCTTTCACATTTTCAATGGTGTCTGACGCCTCAACTTCCAAGGTTATAGTTTTTCCAGTAAGGGTTTTCACGAATATCTGCATTCCACCACGGAGACGGAGAACGAGATGAAGGGTTGATTCTTTTTGGATATTATAATCAGAAAGTGTACGTCCATCTTCCAATTGCTTGCCAGCAAAGATTAATCTCTGCTGGTCTGGAGGGATACCTTCCTTGTCCTGGATTTTAGCTTTCACGTTTTCAATGGTATCGGACGCCTCAACTTCCAATGTTATTGTTTTTCCAGTAAGTGTTTTTACGAAGATCTGCATTCCACCACGGAGACGGAGTACAAGATGAAGGGTTGATTCTTTTTGAATATTGTAATCGGATAACGTGCGTCCATCTTCTAATTGTTTACCAGCAAAGATCAATCTTTGTTGATCTGGAGGAATACCTTCTTTGTCCTGAATTTTGGCTTTAACATTTTCAATTGTATCTGATGCTTCCACTTCGAGAGTGATGGTCTTTCCAGTCAATGTCTTTACGAAGATCTGCATTCCACCACGGAGACGGAGCACAAGGTGAAGAGTAGATTCCTTTTGAATATTGTAGTCAGATAATGTGCGTCCATCTTCCAATTGTTTGCCAGCGAAGATCAGTCTTTGTTGGTCTGGAGGAATACCCTCTTTATCCTGAATTTTAGCTTTAACATTTTCAATAGTGTCTGAGGCTTCAACTTCAAGAGTGATGGTCTTTCCAGTCAATGTCTTTACGAAGATCTGCATTCCACCACGGAGACGGAGTACAAGGTGAAGTGTAGATTCCTTTTGTATATTGTAGTCAGAAAGTGTGCGTCCATCTTCTAATTGTTTACCAGCGAAGATCAATCTCTGCTGATCTGGTGGGATGCCCTCTTTATCCTGGATTTTTGCTTTAACATTCTCGATGGTGTCTGATGCCTCAACCTCGAGGGTTATGGTTTTTCCCGTCAATGTCTTTACGAAAATCTGCATGGTTATCTAATAAAAAAAAAGAAAAATATTGTAAGAATAACACAGAACTTTTTATTTACGTATATCATTACTAATTGTACAAACTCATCAAGATGTAAAATACCGTAGTAATGTTTCGTTAAAATGTTAAATATTGTATCAATGTTTCTCAAATATTTATTCGTATATTTCTGTTAACTGAAAGTTTTGGACTCGTCTAAAGCATCAGCATAATGGCGTCATCTTGACGAATCAATAACCGCCATTTTGTGCTGTTACTACGCAGCAAGAATGTAACGGATTATTCATAAAATTGATTCTCTTTAAATCATAAACTACTTAATTACTTTCTAATATTTCACAATTATCATACCATATATTTATTAGTTCTTTAATTATACACTAGCCAAGTTTCGAAATAGCTTTAAAAATAGCTTTGGCATCTACGGGTGACGCCCTTAACGTTATCCTTGTAATTCAACAATAATTACAGCATTTTAAATCTTTTTTTCTCAATTTAAAAAGAAGAGTAGTACTTGAAATATATGGATGAATGTAAAATGGAGCAAATGTTTGGTATGATTAATAAGATTTTAAATTAGTAGTAAATGCTAAATAAATTTATCAAACAACAAAGCAATTTCTAGAAATTCTTACCCTTCGTGGAAGTGACTTATGCAGCAAAAATTTTTAACGAAATTTGTAGAACGTTGGATACCTCTTGTAAAATCACTTTCAACTGTTCCTCAGAACTGCAGCGAGCGGACAGGGAACGCTCCTTTTATGTTACTAGCATATATTTGTACCACTCATGCGCAGACGGGTCAGGAGATTTCTCTGCAGTTGCTTATTGGATTATACCTTTTTGTCGTCATCGAGTAAATGACGTTGTTGCGTCCTATTGGTTTTGGAGACAAAGAATCATCTTCATGCACCAAATTTTATTAAACTATTATTGTTTAAAAAGTCACTCATATTATATTAATATTTTGTTACCAGAATTTCTTTATTAAATTGACAATTTTGATTGTATACTTAGATTCTTTAAACTATTACATTTTGGCAAAAACAAATGGCCAGAGGGCGCGCAAAGGCTTAAACAAAAGAAAATGATGAATCATTGTTTTCCACAACGATACTTTTTCCAGTAATTTCGATGTATACAGTTCATATTTATTCTAAATATAACTATTAGTTTTATCGCTTGAAAAATCAGCTTTCATAGAATTTATATAAATAGGTTAGGTTGAAGTCGATATATTCGTATAACAAACTTACTTTACAGAACCGATTTTAATAGTAAACAAGGAAAATGAAAATCATCACAATTTGTTATACGATAGAATTTAATCACAGACAGATACATTTTATTTGGAATAAAGAAATAAGATTAAAGTAATGTATTATTTCAGTTAGGTCTTATTTTAGAAACTACGCAGAGAAAGTAACTTTATTTTGTGTAAAATTCAAAGTTTCTATTTTAATTAATTATCATCCAAATAAAATAACAATTTGTTACGAAATCGTGGTAGAATTACCTATCATCTTATTTAATCGAATTTGATAGAATCTGAATGAATCATTAATATTTTCCTAAAATGTATTACTAACATTCTTTTGACGTAAAAAGGATTGGATAGTATTTTTGAAATGATTTAAATGCAAGTTTATTCAAATATAAAATAATTTATTTCGTTTTCTAGCCAAATAATGATATAATCTGAAGAAATATCATGTTTTGGTCTGAAACTGATATACAATTATATCAAATAATGTCTAGCTAAATAAATTATTCAAATACATTGTTCGAATAATGCCCAAGACTGTTCAGCAACTATGTTAAAATTTGCGTCATCATGTTGCATAAAATATGTAGTTTTAGTTAAGCTGATGCAATAATCTTTTAAACGTTGCAATTTTTATATCCTAAATCAATTAAATATTTATCTCGCATAAATAGAATTTATACAAATATTTTATTCATATTAAAATATTTATAACATTTAAACACGAATCTGTACAACAAAATTTAGTTTTCTTTGAAAGGAATCTCATTTTTCTTATCTTCATTAAACCTTTTACCCAATTACTTACCAAATGTTCATGATTGAATGTGAAGTCGCATCATTTGTTACTATGTAATTGATTTATAATACAGTAGTTTAAATCTTAAAAAGAAAAATTATACAGATTATAGATTAATCGTGGACAATAAGAGCAGATTGAAAGTTTGTTTATATGAGATTGTTTTACATGAAATATATGACAATTTTGAAAACAAGTATTTACTTATAATTAACTATGTACATTTGTAATTTAATTTTTCATTGTTAACACTGAATATTAGTTTCAGTCAACTGCACGATTACGTGATTTGTCAATAATTACAAGCTAACATAAAAAAGCAAAAAACGAAAACTCGCAGACTTTATGGTTTAATTTCAAGAACAATATGAATTTATTTACTTTTCTATCTTTAAAATATATATTTGAAGAAATACGAAACAGATTTTACTATGCATGTAATAAATTGGATACTGTTCTTAAATATAATTAGAATGGCACAGCGAACAACGTTAGGTGAACTATTTTTTATATAAAGAAGTGTAAGTTAAATCCCACCTTGTTTTTAATGTGAATAATTTCACTCAGTACCGAAAAAATAGTATGTAGCGTTTATAGTCAAAATTCCTCAAGGCTCTACACACATTCAGTTTTGCAGGTTAAAGAAATTGAGTAGAAAAGTTTGCGAATTTTCTTTGTAAAACTCCTGCAAACGTACAGCGCACTGTGTTACATTAATATTTGGTTCAAGACATGATAATAAATTAAGAGTACATGTATAGCTGAAATATGTACAAATATAGTTTAATTAATACTGTAAAACAGGAAATGGAAGTGGCTAATGCTTGAATTTTCTATTGATTTGAAGCATGTGCCAGTTCAGTTAGAAAGATGAAAATAACAGTACTATATCTACCAAATACAAAATTGTAAAAAAAAAAGACCGAAATGACGGAATTAAATCACCGAACTTTCGCTCGAAAAGACTAGCTGCACCAAACAGAATGAATATAGTATAAAATTATGTTTATAACTCGCATAAAGATTAAACGGCTAATTTAAACGTAAAATTAGATCTTTATCAACTTTGCACGGCAACTTCTAATACTTTTATTTAACGAATTAATACAGTATCAGTCTCAGTTCTGCTCGGTGCCATCCAAAAATAAATTAAACTTTTTTTTATACGCCAAGTATTTGTTCTTGTAAAAAATTAGTAACCATAATCATACAGTCAGAGTGCTATTGTGTGTGTGGCCTTCTTATTAAAGAGGTTTCTTTATTAGTTTGTATTGATAAAATATTCTTATACAATACTAAATACGCAAAGGAATAATGGAAGTGAAGAAAACCTTATACTTATCTCATGCATGTTCGATTTATTCAAAGAGGATTTGCATGTGTACAACAGAAGATCCATACACAGTGTCAGAAAGAAAACTCATTAAACGTGAAACATTTGAAATAATTGCATTCCTGTGAGATCTTTAAAACAAATCGACTGCAAATTAAGAATTCTTGACACGTGCACTTGACCCTCATTGGTCAGCAAAGCGTCTATTTTAATAATAATCGATTTGCAACTCTGCTTTCTTAGAATCTTCTGCGTGAATTAGTACACGCAACATGAACGTACGTTGTTAAGAGTTATCTGGTGCAGGAAAACATTTCTGCACTCCTTTACGACTACACACACAACATACACACGAATTCTCAATACAAACTAACCTACTCTTAACTTCAAAACTTATAAATGTTCATTTTCTTTCTTTTTTTAACCACCCTTCTTGCTATTAAACTCCATCATACATTGTGACTCTGAAATATAGCTAAATAAGTAATTCAAACTAATTAACATATTGATCATTTCCTCCGACAAAATTCTAGTGCTGGAACTAATCGTACCAATTGCCTGTTTGGGAAAGATCTTGAACAGTTTCAGAATATAATTACAAAAAGTTTCTTTTATTTGTTTTACAAATGGTGGCATTTATGTATATATTTTCTAACGTGCAGATATACTGCTTACATAAAATGAATAACTGAAATTTAAGATATTACACTTTTTTATTAATGACGCTTAAAAATTAATATATTCAAAAAGGGGAAAAAAAAACATAATTTTTAGTCGTTAATTTTTACTACTAATTTTTGTCATTAATCTGTTGAATATAGTTCTAATAGAAACATAAGATTCTGCTTCATGCTCATGGGGCAAGTCAAGCTACGATGACACAATATACCTTAACAAAGATTTTTGTCAATTAAATTTATGACTCAAAAATAAAATAATGCCATAAGTTGTCCAAAGAAATACTTATTATATCTGAAATAATCATAACAATATGATAATCAGTCAATATTTTTGTTCTAAATTTGTTAACGTCTTTCCAGTATTGAAAACACTTCACTGAACAAGCAATTGACACGAGAAAAATTTATTTTCTTATACTATATAAGTTACGAGTAAATCGATAAAGCGAATATTTTGGTAGATCTACTTGGAGTCTGTTTCCATTTTGATCTCCTCTGCTTTTTTATCTTTCTTTGAAGCCTCGCTATCTGTTCCTTCTCCGTTACTATTGTCGCGTCTTCGTTTTCTAGCAAATCGGCCCTTATATTTGGGTGGTGGAAGTTGTTCCATACCCAGAACTTTATGAATTTGACGAAAAGCGACCAATCGCAGCGCATGCTGGGCTGAGGCAGTTATATCTTCTCTCTGTTGAGCTGTCATATTACCTATTGCATCAACTGGCTCCTTTTCACATGGATCTGACAATCCTGTATAAGAATACCATTTACTATTATCCAGTTCTGATGTCGATTGTACGAAATTTTACATATAAATTGTAAAAATCAGATTGCCAAATCATCTACGTAATATTGCGAAATTCTTCAACGAGACAAAGAAACTGAAATACTCAATTTCAAAGTCGACGATGAAGTTCACAATATACTCAGTCTCGTCATCTGTATCATCATTTTTCAAAAAATTTTATATAAGAATTGATTAATGAAAAGATAAAGGGAAAAAGTTACCTGGACTTCCTGGAAGTAAGATTCCTCCAGCAACACATTCCAGAAGCCTTCTTAAAGCTTCGCCTGGACTAAGAGGACCCCCAGCAGTACTGATCACTTTCTCCGTTAGCAGTTCCAGTGCCTAACAGTGATGAAACATTTGAAGATACTACTGGACTATTATAAACATAATTAAACACGTTGATTACTAAACTAAATTGTTCAAAATTTCATCATGAAGTATTGTTACTTTTAACAGATCTAATTCTATTATTTTTAAATTATTTCAGTATTTATTTTTAATAATATAGTAATCAACGTGTTGAAGTCGCAATACAGAATAAATATTTGATTAAATAAACAATATCCAATATAATTACTTTCTTAAATGTTGAACTAAAGTATTTCTAAATGTAGAATATTCATTGGAGTAACAAGAACTAAAATATACAGCGCAATAACAAGTAAAATGAACATGATAAAGAATTGTTCAATAAATGAAATGTACGTATACCAAATCCAAAAACTCATAAGCTTAAAAAGAAAGATAGACAAAAATATTTGTTGAAGTAAAATAATAAAATAAGTTATATAATAATGAAATAAAAGTCTCTCTCTGACGTTGTAATGACAGATATTGCTTACTTAAATAGAGTATTGCTATAATAAAATGTTCCAGGTTTTATGTAAATGTACAGATACGATATACTTAAATAAAAAAGAAATAAAGACTAAAATATACAGTATAAATAACATATGAAGTCAATATAAAGAAATGACTTTTAATAATTAAGATATAGATAATAAAAAATTGCTTGATACTAACCCATGGATTTAATGGTCCCCAAGTGGGTACACGGTTACAAAGATCACGCATTATGCGAATGACCATTACACAGCTCTGCAGCGAAGTTGCTCTAGCCTGTTGAATATGATTAATATTTTAATACATATAACTTAAGGCACATATTAAAATCTCTGAGTCTTCTGGAGATGCGACACCCTAAACTACTTTTAAATTGCTTTGTGCGGGCTTTAGCTATCCTCCCAGCCTCGTGCCTACATAACCCCTAAACATTAGCCCATATCAAAATTATCGGGTGTTTATTAAGTGTTTCCTGGACAATTAATACCTAACATAATATTGAAAAAAAAGATATAACATATCGGAAAAAATGTTCACTCGAGAAAGTGCCAAATATATATCTCGAACATGTAATGAAAAAACACCCGATATACTTATGACACCACTGTGTGTTTGTGCTTGTCTGTCTTTTAACATTTAGCAGTACTTATAATGCATATATCGCGTATGATAGTAATAAATAGAGTACATTTTTATGGAGTACACTAACTTTGGTAACTTCTAAGACAGACCTAGAACAGACTCAGTCTAGGCTACAACGCATTAACAATAATCCAGAATAATGAACAAGCTTGATCATAAGCATCATAAAGCAGTTCAACGCATTATAAACAAAATAAACAAAACTACATTCTTTGAAGAAAAGTCAGATATATTTAAATGATTTTCAGTGAAAAGTTTCCTATTATTCTGGATGTTGATGATTGGAAGTAAAGCAAATGTAAATGCTTTCAATGCGCATTAATATTTAAAAATATTATAGTTCACACTTACATAATGCTTAAACTTCTTGACTGAGATTATCTGATTGCACATTTGATGTTTGATTATTTTTTTTTATTATTATTATTTACTAGTAGAATCATAAACATACATTTTTCCTTTTTTTCTATTAAATTGCCAATATCCAAACATTGCCACTGCCATCCATATAATAATAACCGTTGTACATTTTAAATTGCAAATGATTTTATACCTTTCATTAAATAACAGCGTATCAGTGGGCAAAGTGGATTGGCAGATATACACAAACCGCGAACAACATCAAATGCGATCAAGCAAGTATATCTCAGACAAAATCATATCAACAAGAAGACAATAAAAATAAAATCGTCACAAGGCTGGAAGTTCTAAGACTGCTCTTTTTTGCGGACAGAGAGAGAGGACAACTTGCACGCGTTTCGCGTTATCAGGAAAAAATAACAGAAAACAGAGTCCTTAATACCAACAACGTGGCCATGGACCAATTCGAGATCTTGAACTGAGAGTTGATTGATTCAAACCTGAAACCACTTGGCATGCCTGAGTGCAGCTAAAGCCTCCAAACACTTAGCCTTGGGAAGTACATCTGGTGGATCTGGTTTCGTCACAGCGGGCGCCGTAGGCGTTGCTTGCGGTTGAGCAGCTCCCTGTTGCTGCTGTCCAGCATTATCTGAGATTCCAACAAAGAAAGCACAACACGCTTAGACAACACTTAGAGTGTTTGATCATGCCCAACTTGGGTTTTCCCTCTATAATTACGTTTTAACTCAAGCACATATTTAACTTGAGGGCATAGCCTAAAAATATTTCTGATTGAAATGAAAAATAAACCTAATCGAATGTGGTACACGACAATGATGCGTCGCTCTTATTCATGTACGTTCTTTGTCTGGAAGAACGACCGACGTTTCTTAGTCGCGTTGACAGCATTACTCAAATACGAAGAAAAGTAATGCTGTCAAAAGAATCGTCGGTTAGAATTAGAAGTCAACTGCACATTGTACGATGTGTGTATAACATTCGATGATAGAGGGTTTTCTCGTTAAAATTATCGATGCATGATCAAAAAGTCCATAGTTTTAAGATTGCCTCAGCGTTGTTTCCTCATACCAAAAGCGTGTCCACGTTCATACTAGCATATTATTTTCCTTCATGGAGACTCCAGCTCAGATTACTAACGAAACTTGCAGAATATTTATTACTACAAATTAACTTAAAAACGAAACAAAGCGACGTCTAATCGTATCAAGTTTACGCTCTCTCTTTTCCGTTAAAAAATGGCTATCAATGTAATATTTTTATGTACGCTCTAAACATTGTTTTTTTCCTAAACGAGTTATAGTAATTATAGTTAGTCGTGGACACACTAAATCGCAGCTGTATTGGAAAGAAAATGAATTTTGTATGTTAGAGCGTATATACACTGGCAACCGTCGAAGTCCTTGGCTGCCGCAGCATCTTCCTGGTGCTTGAAAAAATGTACAGAAAACTTTCGGGCCATGAAAAGAACAAACCAAATTGATAAACCATGTGTGTTCAAGAAAACAACAGCGTGAAAATAAAGGGTGCTTTCTGTAAAATTACTACAAAATCATCATAGTTATCCTTTTCTTGGCCACTATGAAAACAGAAAACGATTGAATCACCTGCAGCAACTGCTGTTTTAGGCGTTTCACGCATTAGAGGACTGGTGAGTGTTACGCTGACGGTTACGCTGCCTCCTGACACTGTTAGAGCAGCTGATTCGGGATGTTTTCCAACATTGTAAGTATCCTCTGGAGCCACGATCTTCAATTGTGCCGGAAGAATTTCAGCAACTTTGTTTAATAGTGAACTGCAAAAAAAAGAAATTTGAAATAATGTTTTTTTATGTGAAAAGAAAAACACTTAGTACTTTACACAACTAACCGTGTTGGTTTTTCAGCACACAAAACCACGAGACAAACATGATTATCACCAGATAATAGAAGTCCTTTCGCCAAATTGCCAACACGCATCACGCCTCTTAGTATTCTCGAATCTTCTTTTTCCTTTTGGAACGAGAATAAATTACCATCACTACCATCTTCTTTCTGCGGTGTTGTAACTTTCTTTTTATCAGGATCTTCTTTCACTTTTACAGTTGCTTCCGCATTTGTTTGTTGTTGCTGTTGTGACTGTTGTTGTTGCTGTTGCACGGTTGTAGCTGCAGGGGTGGCATTAGTTGCAGTTGGTGTTGTTTTCTTGCCTATAATCAGGAAAAATATTTCAATTCAGTTTTGAATGTTATGTATAATCGAAGTATAAAATAATTCGATAATAAGATAATTACCAGCTTCAGCCAAAGTATCAGACACGAATTTCAACGCTTTCTCAGTGTGTGATACTATTTTCTGAACTGCCAGCAGTTCTTGTTCCTTGGGATATATTGTGGTGTGATGAGCCAATACGTGTTTGTCATCAGATGAATCTGGCCTCCTCTGAGGTCCTGGGAACATCATCATCGGAGGTGGTCCTGGGAAAGGACGAGGCATTGGTGGAGCACCGGGTCCACGTCCATAACGTCTATACCATTCATAGTATTCACATTCTTCTTCGTAACGTCGTCTTTCTTCCCAATACATCATTTCTTCGTCCATCATTGGACCCATGGGTCCCAATTGGTTAATTTCTTCTCTTCGACGTAGATACTCATCTCGCATCTGCTGTCTGCGTAATTTTTCTTCTAACAATTTTCTTTGTTTTAAGCTTGGTTTCATGTCAACTACTAAATCAGGATTAACTTTCTTCTTATAAGCAAACCTATGTCTCCGTCCTTTCATATGCATATCTTTGGCATTAGGATCATTGAATCTACATTCACAAAGCTTACAGTTAAAGCTTATAATTTTTCCATCTTCTGATTTATTTTCTTCTATGTATTCTTGACCAACTGGTTGAATATCCTTCTCGTCGACAGATGCTTCTTCTACAGTTTCCTCAGCTGTAGTTTCTTCTGTCTTAATTTCCGAAGTTTGATTCTGATTTACAGTACCCAAATTTCCAGCTGTAAGTATTGCATATATCATAAATATGTATACAGACGTTCAAGCTATATTAATATAAGCGAAATTTTTTATAGTGTAGTTTCGTTATATGGCTCTCATTTATGTAACCCACTCAGAGAGTTTTTGTCATACAAACTTCTTTACATCAAGTATCAAATTTAACAATTTATAAAGTTCTAAAATTTCAAATTCGAAAGTTTAAGACTCATGATTTATATAGAAAGAGTTGCGCTTACATGGTTTATTAAATTTTTTCCATTGCTTCAATTTCCGATTAGGGTTACGTAACGAGAACTTACTATATTTATAATAAAAGGACAAAAAAAAGTATACACTTACATGCCACAAAATTGATTTTAGGTGTAGCCGTTACTGTAGGTTTTTTAGTTCCTGCAGTTTTGGCAGCAGCTGCTGGTTTAGGATTTAATACAGTTGGATCGGCACTTGGAATGGGCTTTCCAAGTTTAGTATGTAATTTTACGACTTTTTGATGTTTAGCACCCCTGATGTGAGCAGCGTACGCGTCATTTCCAGTGCAGGTAACATCGCAAAGTTCGCAACGTAGACTATTCCCTGCTCCACGTGCTGGTGGTTGTTGTGGTACCTTCAGAGAAGCTTCCTTCTTCTTGTGCTTTTGTCCCTCCAGATGTTCACGGTAGGTTTGAGGCCCGGCACAGCTGATCTTACAGACATCGCAATAGTGTAGTTGTTGAGGTTTAGGGGGCTGCTTGGGCCGCATTGCCTTCATCCCTCCCCCTCCAACGCCAAATCCTTTCCGTCCGTAGCCCTGCCAACCTCCAGTCTTCTGGTTAGTTGAATTGCTGTTTGCACTCTGTTGGGCTACATACATAGTCGCAGCGCTATATAGCGCTGCGTCGTAGCCGGAATACGTTGTACTCGCCGTTTCTAAGGGAAATGAAATTGAAACCTCAAACTTTGGAGGAGTCAATCCTTCATATTCATTGAACCATTCTACTAACTTGTACCCATCAAAATGAATATTTTATTCTTCAGATAAAATACTTGCAAAGTGTGTTGTGTAATACTGAAGTCTTCATATCATTCTAAATATACATTCATAGTTTAAATTTCACAAAATGTAATTCTGCTAAACTTCCAAACTAAATCCATAGTTTAAAATGTTAGCAGAATCTTTATTTATTATTTATAAATTCCAATTTAAATAGCCAGAGGATCAATTTCATGTTATTAGTGCCTATGTCACGGTTAGGACATTTACACAGGATTCTGAATTTTGGCGAAAAACATTAACGTATACATATAAATATAATCCAATGAAAACTTACTATTTGTCGCAGTTGATGGTGTAGCAGCAGGGGTAGCTGGTGCAGTGTATCCTGAAGAGTATGTAGCACTTTGAGTAGGATTAGATTGCTGATAAGCTGTGCTAGATGCTTGGTATGTTTTTGCTTGACCAGTAGTAGTTGCTTGTCTTGCTGTGCCTGTGTAAGCACTAGTTGTACTATATGCAGGCTTTGCTGCCTGATAATGTGTTTCAGTAGTTGTGTATGTTGCTGCGGCCGCAGCAGGTTGCTGATAGTAAGTCTTAGTAGCGTCGTATGTGGCTGCAGGCGCAGCACGACCGTAACCGTAATCGTATGTTTGAGCCACAGTACCAGGATTAGCAGCTGGAATAAAACAAATTTAAATGGTTTTACATATTATTATTATTTTACTTAGCAGAACAAGCTGTTTGAATTATAAAAATTTTTCAACATAAAAAGGCAAGAAATTTATTCATCTAAATACTAGGATATAGTATTGATGACACAACATGTACTTTGACAAAAAAATTATAGGAACTGGCAATAGTACTATTTTGATCACTTACAAATCTTCTAACACACAGAATAAAAGTAACAAGAGAACGGAATTTTTATTGTACTTTTTAATCATATCAGAGTGCAGATAATACAATGAAGACCAAATTATTAATACATGCGGGAAATGAAATTGAAACCTCAAACTTTGGAGGAGTCAATCCTTCATATTCATTGAACCATTCTACTAACTTGTACCCATCAAAATGAATATTTTATTCTTCAGATAAAATACTTGCAAAGTGTGTTGTGTAATACTGAAGTCTTCATATCATTCTAAATATACATTCATAGTTTAAATTTCACAAAATGTAATTCTGCTAAACTTCCAAACTAAATCCATAGTTTAAAATGTTAGCAGAATCTTTATTTATTATTTATAAATTCCAATTTAAATAGCCAGAGGATCAATTTCATGTTATTAGTGCCTATGTCACGGTTAGGACATTTACACAGGATTCTGAATTTTGGCGAAAAACATTAACGTATACATATAAATATAATCCAATGAAAACTTACTATTTGTCGCAGTTGATGGTGTAGCAGCAGGGGTAGCTGGTGCAGTGTATCCTGAAGAGTATGTAGCACTTTGAGTAGGATTAGATTGCTGATAAGCTGTGCTAGATGCTTGGTATGTTTTTGCTTGACCAGTAGTAGTTGCTTGTCTTGCTGTGCCTGTGTAAGCACTAGTTGTACTATATGCAGGCTTTGCTGCCTGATAATGTGTTTCAGTAGTTGTGTATGTTGCTGCGGCCGCAGCAGGTTGCTGATAGTAAGTCTTAGTAGCGTCGTATGTGGCTGCAGGCGCAGCACGACCGTAACCGTAATCGTATGTTTGAGCCACAGTACCAGGATTAGCAGCTGGAATAAAACAAATTTAAATGGTTTTACATATTATTATTATTTTACTTAGCAGAACAAGCTGTTTGAATTATAAAAATTTTTCAACATAAAAAGGCAAGAAATTTATTCATCTAAATACTAGGATATAGTATTGATGACACAACATGTACTTTGACAAAAAAATTATAGGAACTGGCAATAGTACTATTTTGATCACTTACAAATCTTCTAACACACAGAATAAAAGTAACAAGAGAACGGAATTTTTATTGTACTTTTTAATCATATCAGAGTGCAGATAATACAATGAAGACCAAATTATTAATACATGCTGAAGATATGAAAGTAGAAATGAAAAATATAAAATAAAAAGTGTATTAAAGTAAAATACATTGAACATATTATTAACATTCCTAAAACATTCAAAAATTTGTGATATGAATATATAATTGTAGCAATACCAAGAATTAAAGAGCAAATTAGATTTGATGTAGTATTGCTTTTTATTATTTCTGGTAACTTATTATCAATACTAAAACCTTATATTTTAACATATAAAGAAAATCATTGGATTATAAATGTTTATAAATTTATAATATATTGTTATCTGCAAAATATACATAAATCATATAATCAGAAAATTATGAATATGTATGCTTTGCAAACTTTGATGTAATTACACAAACATTTCCAAACTTGAAATTGTAAATAAACTTGTTATGAGAAGATCCCTAACTTTTCCATTTATCAACATTAAGAAATACCAAATCATAGGTTCAATATATCAAAGTCAAATTTATTTGTTCTAAATATTTTTAAATCACCAACAAATACACACTTAAAATATGATATTAATTAAAACAATAAGCAGAAGAGGGCTTAGATGGGAACTCTGTAATATGTTAGATATAAAACTGATAGTTCTCCAAAAGATATTGCCAATACGCACAATTCATGTATTACTATACATAACTCACTATTTGCTAATTTAGATCAAAGAATGTTACGATTCAAAGAGATGAAACTCTTTTTGAACTGATATATAATGGTGATCTCGTAAGATTATAATACAGCTTAAACATTTCCATTTCTACATGATTTTGTGTTTAATACAATGCAAGCGGAATTCTATATAGAGAAATGCTTATAATATAAAAGCATATTAAGATGTTCAATAAATATTAAAAAAAAATCAAAAGTTTATAACATAAAGTTATAACAGAAATTTGTAACCTATAATCATTAGACTATTTAAGAATGTAATACGCTACAGAAAAGTATTTTAAGAATGTAATAGGCTACAGATCTAGATTTTGGTGAACACATTAGATAATGTTGGTGCAATGATGAACTTGCTTACTAATAGATTTTCTAGATGCCCTAATTAAGAATTGCGTAACTACAGATGATGTTAACGTAACAGTCATCATCCAAAAAATTAATAAAATAGTTGTAAAACATACAGAGAATAGTAACTATAGGTTCTCCTTTCGTACGTTCATGTGATTCAAAACAAATTGTACTGGATATAAGGACATACAATTTACACGTAATCAAGCATTCTAACAATCTGCATTGATTATAAAAATAGACCTATAATTTTTTACATAAGATCTAGCAATTGTGGAGATTTAGGAGTCAGTTTTGAATGTCAGGAATGTCGAAGTTTAACAAAGAGAGCTAACAGAAACTAGGCAATAAGATAGGAAAAGTGATCTTACCAGCGTACGTAGTCCCAGTAGCAGCTGCAGCGGCTGCTGCTTGGTAGGTTTCGTAACCTGTAGCCGCGGCAGCAGCGGGTCGTTGAGTGTACGTGGCGGCGGTTGCCGCTGGAGTTACTGCGTATCCCGCTTGACCCGTTTGATAAGCGGCTGCGCTGGTCGCTCTGTTCAAAAAGAATAATAGATTTGACTACAGGCAAGTAACAGAATGAAAAAATGTAAACGGGCAAAACGAAAAAGACCTCTATCGGTTCCGTGCCCGGGAGAGACGCTCGATGGACGCTCTACTCTCAGCAAGAAATGGCGGCCAAGCCGGCTGGGCTCTCGCGTGCACCGATTTTAACGAACAGTTATTACTCCCGCCAACGTAGTTACCGTCACGATTTTTCGATAAACTTAACACTAGCTACTTAATAATTATGGTATGCAATCGATTTCGTACCCATATTGCGTTCCGCCGTGAGTAAACCCAAAATAATTGTTCTGAGCCATCCTTCCTCGCAGAGAATCCCGGAAAGAAGGACAATGGAGGAAGTTGTAGGGCGTGCCACGAACTCGATAGAATGGCGGCGCTGCCGCGGCTCCTATTGGTTATTCTGTTGGAGCCGGGCGCAACAATTGCAAGAATGCCGCGCCCTCAGTGGCCGCTTCCACGAGAACCTTGCGTCGTCCTTCGATAAACTACCTCCGCGCAAATCAACGCGCTACCGTACTAGCCAGAGAAACTACCGCGAGAAAGTATTCACGAAGCGGACAGATGTATGCGGTTAATTGAAACTTAACTTACTGCGTGTTTCTCGTTATCTCCGTTTTCCGGGTAGCATGTAGCTTGTGAAATTTTCGCGGCTGGTGCGTGTTGCGGCGAACGTCCGGCGTGCGCAAGGAAGGGCTAGTTTGCCGGTGACGCGTGCGTTTAACGAATTCTTTTGTCGCCCCCTAGTAGTAAGGCCAGGTTTACATTGGCACAGTGTGGTAGAGTAGTTGGCGCTAGTAACTTACTTGCTTACACTAGTCAACAACACTAGTGTGCTTATCTAGGAAAAATGGCGATGCAGGGGAAAAACCCTCCCCACCACTCGTTTAATTTTGATTCTTAATTTTTTAATTTGGACACTTGTACAATTGCAAACTTTCAAGTTTCAAATCTCAGAAATTTGAAAAAAATCGAGAATTTGAAAATTCAGGAACTTAAAACTTTGAAAATTTTGAAACTTGTAAAATTTGAGAAATTTAAAAAATTTGAATATTCAAAAATGTTGGCATTTCAAAATTTGAGGATTTAAAAGTACGTGAATTTAAAAATTTAAGAAAATTTTCAAATTTTCAAATTTACGAACTCAAATTTTTGTTTAGCAATACAAACTTTTTTCAAATTTTCCCACCAACTTCCCCCGCTAAACTCGATCTATTTGCGCATGTCTAGTAGATATAGCACTAAACAATATAGTGGTGGAAAATCCACTTACCACTCTATCAATGTAAACCAGGCCTAAGGTTTTCTGTCGTTTGAAGTGGAAGCGCTCTCTAGTAGACTGTACTGTAATTCTAATGGAATTCTTTACTACTCGCACAACAAATTCAACAGTAACATTCGTGTTTGATACGTCAACATATATTTGAAGTATAAATTATTTTGCTTTATTATATAAAGATACGATACAACATGCCACCACAATTAGTGAAGAAAAAACATGCTAAATACTTCCAAAGGTTACTACAAATTATGCCCAGTAGTTTGGCAGAGTTTGATTATTCTAGACTGGCTGTAGCATTCTTTGCTATATCAGGATTAGATATATTGAATTGTTTAAATGAAATTAGTGAAGAGACAAAATTAGAAGCGATAGATTGGATCTATAGGCTTCAAGTCACTGGAGCTGGACCACGTTCCGGCTTTCAGCCATCTACAACGATACCAAAGGATATTCCAAAATATCAATGTGGTCATGTTTAACGAATTCTTTTGTCGCCCCCTAGTAGTAAGGCCAGGTTTACATTGGCACAGTGTGGTAGAGTAGTTGGCGCTAGTAACTTACTTGCTTACACTAGTCAACAACACTAGTGTGCTTATCTAGGAAAAATGGCGATGCAGGGGAAAAACCCTCCCCACCACTCGTTTAATTTTGATTCTTAATTTTTTAATTTGGACACTTGTACAATTGCAAACTTTCAAGTTTCAAATCTCAGAAATTTGAAAAAAATCGAGAATTTGAAAATTCAGGAACTTAAAACTTTGAAAATTTTGAAACTTGTAAAATTTGAGAAATTTAAAAAATTTGAATATTCAAAAATGTTGGCATTTCAAAATTTGAGGATTTAAAAGTACGTGAATTTAAAAATTTAAGAAAATTTTCAAATTTTCAAATTTACGAACTCAAATTTTTGTTTAGCAATACAAACTTTTTTCAAATTTTCCCACCAACTTCCCCCGCTAAACTCGATCTATTTGCGCATGTCTAGTAGATATAGCACTAAACAATATAGTGGTGGAAAATCCACTTACCACTCTATCAATGTAAACCAGGCCTAAGGTTTTCTGTCGTTTGAAGTGGAAGCGCTCTCTAGTAGACTGTACTGTAATTCTAATGGAATTCTTTACTACTCGCACAACAAATTCAACAGTAACATTCGTGTTTGATACGTCAACATATATTTGAAGTATAAATTATTTTGCTTTATTATATAAAGATACGATACAACATGCCACCACAATTAGTGAAGAAAAAACATGCTAAATACTTCCAAAGGTTACTACAAATTATGCCCAGTAGTTTGGCAGAGTTTGATTATTCTAGACTGGCTGTAGCATTCTTTGCTATATCAGGATTAGATATATTGAATTGTTTAAATGAAATTAGTGAAGAGACAAAATTAGAAGCGATAGATTGGATCTATAGGCTTCAAGTCACTGGAGCTGGACCACGTTCCGGCTTTCAGCCATCTACAACGATACCAAAGGATATTCCAAAATATCAATGTGGTCATTTAGCAATGACATACATTGGATTAGTTACACTTGTAATCCTTGGAGATGATTTAAGTCGAGTTGACAGAAAATCTATTATTGAAGGCATGAGAGCTTGTCAGAATTCCGATGGATCATTTACAGCTGTCATAACAGGATGCGAAAGTGATATGAGGTTTCTTTATTGTGCTTGTTGCATATCTAAAATTTTAAATGATTGGTCAGGTATTGACAAAACAAAAGCAATTGACTACATTTTAAAAAGCATTGTAAGTTTTCATCTTCTTTTTTTCTTATTTGTCATGTAAAAAGTATTAACAAAAATGGCTTTGTCCACCTAATTTTATTTGTCTACCTAGTCATATGATGGAGCAGTGGGTCAAGGACCTGGTCTTGAATCACATGGAGGATCTACGTTCTGTGCTGTAGCGAGTCTATTTCTTATGAACGAGTTACATAATGTATTGACACGTGATCAATTAAATAAACTAAGAAGATGGTGTCTGTTGAGGCAAGATAGTGGCTTTCATGGACGCCCTGGGAAACCATCTGATACTTGTTATAGCTTTTGGGTGGGTGCAACGTTACAATTACTAGACGTTAACAAATTGTCAGATCCAGATGAGAATAGAGCATTCCTTCTTAACACTCAAGATACAGTTGTTGGTGGATTTGCTAAGTTTGCTAATTGTCTACCAGATCCACTGCATACATACTTAGGTATGTAGAATGAAAAATCATCTTACATAAAAAATTATTATTAAAAAATAATATTTAATGAATACCTCAACTTTTTTTAGGTTTATGCGGTTTAAGCCTCTTAGGAGAGACTGGTTTATGTATGATGAATGCTGCACTTAATATTTCTGATAGAGCATATAAACATTTATTGAAAATTCATGAAGTATGGTAATACAGTTAATATTTACATATGGTACTTGTAACAATTGAATATCATATCAAACGCACAGAGTAAAAATAATGAAAGAAGTAACATTTTTGCATCTTGTCATGAATTCTATTTGTACAGTTCTCACAGATTCTCTGTGCCTAGAACCATTATTCTAAAGAGGTCAATTAACAAGATTATTATGATTTTAAGATACATTATTAATAGTTTCATTTGAATTTACTCGTTGAAAATGTATTAAAGCTCAAATTACAAATAAAAAGGAAAATAATAGAATGATTCAAATGCATCTTAAAATGTCATTATATACAAATTTTAAAAGTTCTATAATAAAAAAATAGTATTATACGACACAATCTCGCTGTATGGCTCTATTTACATGTACATATGCATGTAACCCCATCAACATTATCCTCACCATAGACTTCCATGTACGTTAATGATACTCTTTTACTATCCTAACATATGGTAATCTATCAAAATCGCTAAACCTTCAAAGAATGATGCTTTTTTGTTTCTGATTGTCGAATATGGTTATAAATTTTTTAATATTCAAATTCTCCAATTTTTAAATTTTCAAGCTGTACAAGTTAGAGATTTAGTAATTTTCGAATGTTTAAATTCAGAAATAGGAAAATTTTCAAGTTTTCAAATTGTTAAATTCAAAATTGTATATAAGCTTCCAAATTTAGGCATGTACAAATTGAAAAATTGAAAATTTACAAGTTAAAGAACTGAGAAATTTTTTAATTTAGAAATCGAGTAGGTTTCAAATTGCAAAATTAAACAATTTAGCAATTTAGGAATTTTCCAACTTTCAAGTTTAGAAATCCAAAACTATGCAAAGTTAAAAATTTTTAAATTAAAAAAATAAGACGTTTTTTTCATAGAGATTATCATATTTTCAAAGTTCTAAAAGTCTAAATGAGGAAATATTAACAATTTAAAATTTAGAAATTTACGAAATTAAAATTTTTTAATTTAAGAATATTGCAATTTTAGAATTTACAAACATTCAATTTGAAAAATTGTCAAGTTAAAAAACGCGGATTTGAAAGTTTCTACATATAAATATTTGAAAATTAAATTTTTAAGTACAGATTTTGGAATTTATGAATCTACAAGGTCTTAAGTTAAGAAGTTAAGCAATTTAGACATGTTCAAATTTTATAATCATAAACTGTAGAAGTTTGAAAATCTAGAAATTTTCAATTTGAAGAATCAATAAATTTTTTATTTTCTAATTCAGAAATGTTCAGATTTTTATATTTTTAAATTTGCAAATTGAAAAAATAAGAACTCAGGAATTTTACAGTTTATAAATTAAAAGAAATTAAAAAATTTGTAATTCATGAGCTGTCTTGTTGATAGTTAGGATTCTAATAATCAAGCGTTACATGGATTGAATTTCCTTTATATGACCCATTACAAAATTTTGTCTGCTCCAACAGGCTCTTTTATGATCGTATAGCGAAATCACTGTTTAACCGCTGTCCTTTATTAATATACAAAAAAAGAACTATATTTTAGAGCATTAGGGAAATAGAGGAGATTCAAATAATTAATAGATATAATTTTCGGTGTTACTACCGTTAATTTGAGAAGTATGCCCATGTCGTATTGTTTCGTGTCCATTAATGATAACAACCCCGTTGATGATCGAGCGCGTACTGCGAGGAAAACTTCTCGACACCGTGAAGTTGCTCGAGCGTAGCTGCCACATGTGCCCCACCTCGCGGAACGATGATTCCATGGTAACCGGGGTGGGTTCGCAGACCACAACAGACGACGTTCGTTCGTTCGTCGGAGAAGACTAACATCTACGAGAACGTGTTCTGTTGATGCCGGTGCTAATCCTTATTTTTTTCGCAAATTCGTGTATTGTGTCAATTAATATTTTCGAAGTTTCGTTATATTAGTGCAATTATTTCTGGAGTGAACCACGAAGAAACCAACAGAACACTACACAGGTCTATCTAATTGTTGGAAAAGAGAAACTTCATTGTCGACTGTTAGGGTCGCACTCGCGACCCAGCACATCAGCAGAGGTTAGTGCGCGCCCAAAATTTAAATTAATTCGCCACACGTAAAATCTAATTTACGTTTCTCACAATGGAATCGTTTAATGACAATTTGAACGATACTTATTATGTCACGATATAATCAAGAATACGTTATTCTACTATACATCACTTTCACTGGAAAGGTAAAAAGTGAATTTCTCGCGTATAAAGTTATCAATGACATCGCGCCAAAAAGTTAACTCCCATTGCATCGAAGTGAGTCATGGTTAAAATAAATTAATAAAAGATGAAAAAAATTATAGTATGATTTATCGTGCGATAGTAAAGTCTCGTGTTAAGGAAACAGGAGTTTCGCAAAACCACTTAATTGCGTCACTTAGTCATGGCCGAACGGATGCGTGTAAGTTAATTCATTACATGTGCATCTGTCAGTACAGAAAGCAACGGATACCAACGGAGTATCGTCGGTACGTCGCGTATATTTAGATACAACGGCCAAAGCCTTTCTCCCAAGGTATCGTGAATTAATCGATTATCAGTTCACCGTGAAATTTTCCACGGTGCATGATTTTCACTCGCGCGGTCGCGCACATCCGACGGTAACAAAAAAAGGGGGAATACCTCCAGTAAACACTGTTTTTTCGACTAAACATATAACGTGCTTTTGCTCGTCCATAAAACATGGCCTGTAAATAGGTAACGTTAACGAGTAACCAAGCAATGAGTGATACTGTTGCGCAGTTTGCGTTCACTGCCTGTTTCTAATTACCGGTAAAACCACCGTCCGCTTTTTCACCAGCGATTTTCATCTCTACGAGTTCTTCTCGCGTGTGCAGAGCCGTCTCTAGCATCGAACAGTCGGGTTACTTACTACGGGCTCCGCGCTTACAAATTTTCGTATCTTGTAAGAATTAAGGAAATTGTTATTAATCTTTTACAGGATTAAGTTACCAATTTTTTTGTTTACTCTGAATGGGTATTTAGATACCTATGAATACCCATAAATAAGAACTGTAGAGTCTTTAGGGTTACTGATTTGAAGTTAGATTTTGGAAAATAAAGATGGCGGATAAAAATTTGAAAAGTTCGTTATTCTTCGTAACATTTGACGGTTTTTAATGTCATTAAATGTGAATTTCAAATTAGATTAAGGATGTAGTATGAGTTAAAATTGAGAAATTTATTAATTTTCGTAGAAATTCGTGTCTGATAACATTAAAAGTCGTTAAATATAAATTCTTTTTATTATAAGTTTTATATTTTTTTTTACACAGAACGTCTCTACAGAGCATTTTATATAAAAAGGTATTATATTACAATGTTTAAATTATCGACGGATTATGAGATATGTTAATTTAAAAAATGTGATATTTCATGCAAAAATTGCAGTATGTAAAGTATTGATTTTTTAATACTGTCCCTCGCTTTTTTGTATAGAATTTTCTGAAGAATATAAGAAAAAATATATAACTTCACGTAAAAAAATATAGATTTCCTGCAAATCACATTACCGACAGATGTGTCTCTTAAAATAGTGTAACTTTATCCTGAATATGTGTTCCATGAAACCATAAATAACGGGGTATTTAGGCGACTTTATTTAAATAGGTCACTGTGTATATTTATCAATAATTCACAACTATGTTTTTTAACTTAATAAAAACTTAATTAATAGATCACTATGAACTTTTCTTAATACATGAAGTACTAAATTATTTTTGATGCGGGTCTATATTAAGGTTTAAAATGTCGGTAACCATGTTTCGACGATCTAAATGTTTGGAGTAAACAAAACAAAAAAGACAAAGACCTGTTATTTTTTAGTAATGTATTCAACCATAAAAATTTAATAAATCGCTCAAATAATATTACTGTTAGGTGATCATAAATATCTAAATAAGCAGATATAAATATTTCATAGGGATGAAGTCAACATAACTATAAAATTGTAAAAAATATATTTTTCTGGAAAATAAGGATTTTGAAAACGGCTGAATTTTTACAATCTGATAGTCATATTTTATTTTGTGTTTGTCATCGACAAACGAATATTTCATTCAATCGCAAACTTTTATATTTTAAATCTGTTCCATACAGTGCAATATTTAATAAAATTTAAAATACATTAATTTATTTAAAAATTTATTGACGTTTATTGTAGTTTTATCGGGACAAGTTTCAAGGTTATTTGTGTTTGATAATATTTACTTTTGTCCAGGGCTCCGTGCATTTTAAGCACAGCCCTAAGCATGTGCGCCCATCAACTCTGGCGGTAAATTCATTCACGGTATTTAACGAGCTGATTCGCGTTGCACCGACCAATCATGTTCACTACATTATGCACAACCGTGCATTATGCATTTTTATTCGGTTAGCATTGTTACAAAAAATAATTTCAGTCGATATTTTTAACGAATTAAAATGTTAACGAGAAAATAACTATTCGCAACGGCTCATGGTGCAGATTATAATTTAAAATTTCATCGCTATACCTCGTATCAAAGCAGCGTGTCTCCAACCTTGAATAAACTACCTGCTTAAAAGAGAGGCAAAAATATGTTCTAGAACTTCGAAGGATATAAAAATAAAGGCTAGCTTCTGCTGAACGTCGAGACTGGAGTTTTATTATAACGCTTCTTGGCACTGATAGTAACTTAAATAAAAAACCACAACTTTACTATTATTATACAAGTCGACTTTATAATACGATTTCTGTGATTTTTAATTTAAGCAATTGAACAAAATATCGGTTAATTAAAGGAAGATTATATACAAGTTAAATTTTATTATATTGTTCTTTTATGGAAACTTTTACTTGTGTTAACACATATCGCTGGAAAACGATAAGATGAGCTTGAAGAGAATTTCATTTTTTAGTAAGTTTAAACAAGTATCAGTATTGACAATATAAATATCTTTTTATTGTACTTGATGTGTTATCGACGTCGGCTATTTTCGATTAGATAGGATATAATGCATCAATATTGAACGCATTAAATGATTGTTAATTATTTATTGTATATTAGGGATAGGTCAGTAGATTGAAAGGTTTAATGTAAAAGTTTAATATAGAGTTTATTTCCTATAATATAATAATTAGTTCTAATAATAGGCAAGCTTGCTTATGATGCCCACTTGTGGCACTAAGGGGTAATCGATTTCTTAATTTGGAAATTAAAATTGTTTATATACTTCTAAAAACTGAAAAATTAAAAAATTTGAATTTGCTGTATTTTTATATTTCGTGAATTTTTAACATTCCAAATTTCGAAACTTTTAAATTTGGAAATTCGAATTTTTATACTCATAAATTTTATAAACCTACAATTTCC